GGCGGAAGTTTCAACAATAGTTGGTTGTTGTGATTCACGGATGGCAGAGCGAAGCCACTGATGGACCGATAGGTGGTTGAGGTCTCCCCTCTTTCTCTCTCTTTCTCTCTCTTTCTCTGACTATCTACCTACCTATCTATGTATCTATCTATCTATCCAATCTAATATAACCTAACCTAATCTAATCTAATCTAATCTAATCTATCTATCTAATCTATCTGATCTATCTAATCTATCCAATCTATCTAATATATCTAATCTATCTAACCTATCTAATCTATCTCTCTCTCTCTCATCTAATTACCTATCTATCTATCAATCTATCTATCAAACCATCTATCTACCTAGCTACCTCTATCCATCTGTCTCTCCTTCCATCCATCGACTTATTTATCTTCGTACCCATCTACCTATCTACCTATCCACCCATCTACTTCTCCATCCATCCATCCATCCATCCATCCATCTGACCATCTTACCTACCTATTTGTCCAAAAGCTTTTTTTCCCGGCAGAGCGCAACGTGATCAGCAGACCAAACGAAGCTATTCTGCGAGACTTCCCCAGTTGTAGTTGTAGCATATGTGTATTTCTACTTGTAGCAGTCATGTCGTGTAGTGTAATGCTAATTGTAGTAGTTGTAGTTGTCTATCTGTCTATCTATCTCTCTATCTCTCTATCTCTCTATCTCTCTATCTCTCTATCTATCTATCTATCCATCTATCTATCTATCTATCTGCCTATCTACCTATCTATCTATCTGTCTATCTATCTATCTATCTACCGATCGATCGATCGGTCGGTCGATCAATCTCTCTCTCTCTCTCCCTCTCTCTCTCTCTGACTATCTGCAAGCTGAAAAAATGAAGCTAGTCCGCGAGACTTCCTCAGTTTTTGAACTTGACAACATCAAAAACGCAGCAATTCAGCGAGCCTTCCTCAATTTTTGCACTTGACAACATCAAAAACGAAGCAATTCTGCGAGACTTCCTTCAACAATGGAAAGTTAAGTTGAGTGCAGATTGCGTTTTTGCGAGACGGCCTCGTAGCAATGCGTTTTGCGTTTTTTCGATTCCACCTGTCTAAACTACTGCGCCTGCGACGAAAAAGTGATACTGGGCCATATACGAAGCCCTGCACCTGTCACGCAAAATCATCTCAGCAGACGTGAAGATCTGATGCTCCAAAATGCAACCCCTCGCAGGAAATCAGCGCCCGGACCTCCTAACAGCTCTGATGAACATGTCTCTTGTACTGCCCCTGCCACGGAAAATGCATCTTTGCAGATCCTCTTCAAATGTCCCACGCCTGCCATCATTTTTGGAAATGCTACAAAACCCTCACGTTTTGCTCACTTTTGACAAGGTGCACAATCCTGTGCGCCTGCCACGCAAAACAACATCTGAACGTCCAAAAGTGGTCCGGAGCTGGTGTGCTTTGTACATGTTGACTTCAAAATGTGCTTCGCGCCACAACGGCGTGCACTTTTTCAACATCTCAACTTCCAAAAGTGGTCGGGAGCTGGTGTGCTTTGTACATTTTGACTTCGAAATGTGCTTCGCGCCACAACGGCATGCACTTTTTCGATATCTCAACTTCCAAAAGTGGTCCCAACCTGGTGTGCTTTGTACATTTTGACTTGGAAATGTGCTTCGCGCCACAACGGCGTGCAATTTTTCATCTCTCATCTGGCCAGCTGGGTCCGCACCCGCCGCTTTAGCGAGCTTTCTTTTCGACCCTTCGGAGCCACAAATCATTGGAAAAACACACTGTTTCGCGACTTTCCTACCTTTTTGCGCACCTGGATCTTCTTTCTTCTGAGACTTTCTCCTTTTTGATCTTCTTTCTTCTTCTCTTCTCTTCTCTTCTCTGACTCTTCCCACCTCTGCTTTTCATGTGTCCATATTGTCGGAAATTTGACTTCTAAACTTCCTTCGATAATACGCCACCTGCCAAATTACGCCAGAGAATCACGGATCACTTCTTGATAGCCTTTCACACATGCAGCTAGCATCACGGAATCCCTTCTCAGGACAGATTGTTGCTGACTAGGTTTTTTTTGTGCAAGGTTTACTGACCCACCCCCTTCTACATGCACTTTGACTTTCGCCCGCTCCTTCGCAGAACTTTCGCGGAACTTTCGCGAAAATATCCCTATTCACAGACCCCGGCCATCAGCAGGGGGCGCATTGAAGGAAAAGCAAATGCCAGGGGCCTTGGTGTTTGGCTCTCGCAAAGCCTCACTTTTGGAAACTTGGCTGCTGCATTTGGAGCTTGTTTCTTGAGACTTAAAAAAGCATCATTAGGCAGTGACAGCGGCACCTGCTTCAGGACCATGGTGTTTGGCTGTGCTCGCGAAGCCTCACCTTTGGAAGCTCGGTTGCTACCTATGAAGGGCAACGTGATTGTCCAAAAGCACCACCACACAGGGAACTGAACCAGAACCAAGCCGAAATTCTCCGGTGCCCTTCTCCTGCCGGACCCCAGGCGGCAATGGGTGGCAGCCCTTTACATAATGATTATAATATTTACCTTTCGCGAAACTTTTGCGAATAAAAATGTTACTTTCGCGAACTCGAATATTTTTTTCGCGAGGGTTCCCAACATAACATGAACGGTCTTCGCAATTAAAACTCTTTGCAAGGACCTTTCGATCGATTACCATCTATATATATATGTGTGTGTGTGTATGACCGAAACATCTGTACATGCACACAAGCAGTCACATTACATGCTGGGAATCTCACATGCCACCAAATACTGCACATGCATCATGACAATGGTGAGCACCTGGTCTCCAAGATCTGCAAGGCCTGAGCAGCAGGGGGCAAGGGGTGGGGTTTGGTGTTTTTATGATGGGGTAGGTGGTTGGAAGGGTATGTTGTGGCTCAACTTTGTTGGTAAGGTGTGCAAGGGTAGGGCTTGGTGTCAAAAGATGCTACGTAATGTTTAAAATATTGTTTGGACGGAAAAGCACTTAAAGTTTAATGGGATAAAGTTGGTGCTTGGAAATTTTCACAGTCTACCAATGTCAAATCAAAGAAGTCTGGAAGAATGCTTACAAGCCCACTGTTTGCACCTGGCTGCATCCAACATCTCCCAAGCCTTAGCAAAAAATGGTGTTGGGTCAAGTTTGGGCTGCTGATGGAAAATGCATGAAGCCAATGTTTGATTAAACTTGCAGCATCCAACAGCAGGTGTTCATTTTCCATGTGGCACATGGTCAGGCTTTTGCTTCCAGCTGGTCAGCCAAGGAAAGAAGCCTCAAAGACTCAGCGCTACACTTTTCACAAGCACCTGACCACCCTTTTCACAAGCCCCTGCTACCATCTTCAATGGTAGCTGATGCAGTTTATGGGCTATTAGTACAAGGGTTTGTGCCCTCTCCTCCTCCTTCCATTCCTCCTCACTTCCTCCAGTTCTCCTCCCACTCTTCCAAGGTTGGTGGCACAACACCCTTCCAAACAACTCCATTCTCTGCCCACCACCCAGTGCCACAATCATCACAGTTGCAGCTGTCATCCAGCCTGCTCATTGCACAATGTCTCCTGCCACAGCCAGGTCCGTCCGCCCCAGTTCCAGGCCCAAGTCCCTTCCTCCTGCGACCAGTGGTAGGCAGAAGAAACCAATGAACTGCCCATAGCTGAGGCTTTGAAAGCTACTGGGCAAGGCTGGTCTCTCAACAGGTTTGAGCAAACAGCAGCTGCATGGAAGATCAACATCTTTGAACCAACACAGTAGCTTTGCCTTCGCAGCTTGCACATGCAGGTCCCCATCTTGGCTTAGGCCCACCCACCCCCGTTAAACTTGACATTCAATTGGGAAGATCAACAAAAGCATCAGGGAGTAAGCAAATCGCACCCCCGTTCAACTTTACCTTCATTGAAGATTTTGAAAATTATTCTCCCACCCCCGTTAAACTTCTACATTCATTGAAGCTCTTCAATAAGCGTTTCATTCTCCCACCACCGTGAAACTTCTACATTGAAGATCTTCCTTGATGATGATGATGATGATGATGGTGACGACAATGATGATGGTCATGGTGATGATCATGATGAAAATGAGGATGATAATGATGATGATGATGAAGAAGAAGAAGATGATGATTATGATTATGATTATGATTATGATGACGATGACGATGACGATGACGATGATGATGATGATGATTATGATGACGATGACGATGACGATGACGATGATGATGATGATGATGATGATGATGATGAGAAACGAACCCGCACAGGTCTCTATGCTGTGCGTTCTGATGTAGAACAGCAAGTTAACAATAATGCTAAAATATCTCATCTTTACACCGTTTTCAGCTCAAACGAAAAAGGCGGGCCAACAGGCGCGGGCAAATCGAGGTGTTTGGCCGTAATAGTACTAGTAATAGGCATCTTCATCCAATATATAATTATAATAATAGTAGTATTATATATACACACCAGTAAGAACCGTTTTCTTATCTGTAATAGTAATCCAGTGATGAGGTAAACCCAAGTGAAGTTGGGTAAGGTTTATGATCGGTTTGTACCACGGTACAACACAGTGTGTAGAAGAGATCAATATTGCAACATCATAAAAAACAGGTTCCACACATTTACTCTTTATTTGAATTGAAACAACGGAATCGGAATCATCCACTCTTGGTTTGAAAATAACACCATTCCCATCATGCTCTTAGTCCTCCTCGGCCCAATGCGCTGTGATACACAGTCTCCGTGATATATATATATATATATATAGTATATATATATATCTACCAAGCGGGTGCAAGTTCAAAACCACAAAATTCAAAACCAGCTTCTCCCGATTACTTACAACGGACAATCTAGGTTCTTGCGGTCCCCACGGTTCATGTCAAGAGGCCCCCGTTTTGAAACTTGATGAAACACCAACAACATTTGTTGCACCTTCTCTATATGGTGAATAAACTAAACAATAAACCATAGGAGAAGATACAACACCAATCAACAGCACCTGCTGCCAAGTTGCGATGAAAGGCTTCACGATACAAGGCCTGGTTACACCAGCAACAAGGCATGAAACCAGTGCGCAGACACGTAACTCAACATGGAACCAAATAAAGACATCTTCCAAAAATAAAGGGAACGGGAATAGATTTACCATCTGGTTATTTAACATAGCCATGGAAAATCACCATCTTTAATAGGTAAACCATCTATAAATGGTCCATCTATACCATGGCTATGTTAGTCATAACCAGAGGGTAGATTGACATGGAATTAATGATGATCAGCAGGCATTGGATCAAGAATGATGGATTGGGCAATCATGTTCCTCTTGGCTCCTGCCAGTTGCTTATGGTTGCATCGATGTGAGTACAGAAACCGGTACTGCATGGATCAATTAGTTATCTTTGAAGCCTGGAGGCATTTCCTTTGTATACCCTTATTTCAATCAATGTTGCAACGTATTCTCTTCCTTTGTTCAACAAATGCAAACCCCAAGTCTGCAGACAAACATCCGGTCTATGACTACTATGTGACAGGGCAATGTGTGACTGTTTTGCGATTGTTGCATTATGTATGTGTACATACTGAACATATATTTATGACAGATTGAACAATTTGAACGCACCTTAGACATACACTTAATCGATGGATTGGCTATAATTACATGATTTCAACTCTGACTAATGATTTGATATCTATAAATATAATTTTGAGACATGTCAAGATTGCAAAACATGTGATGATGCCACACAATGGTCTCCAGCATGTGTTGGGAACCCCCCCCAAAATCCGCAGGGTTGGAACCCGGTGTTCGCATACCTTTGCCTTTTCTCCATGGCCAATAGTATGCCAATTATATAACTATATAAATTAAATATATATATATGTATATATATACAGGGTATTCCGCATTTTTGGAATCAAAACATAGCCAAACATATTCAACATGCCCAAGCTGGTCGCTGGTCGCACTGGTGATCACCATGGTAGCACCTTGTTGGATCCATAGCCAGCTCACCGATTCCCAACGGAAATTCCAGCGGAAATTGTGTGTTTTCGAACCGTTAGTACCCTCTGGTAATTTAACATATCTATTGAAAATGACCATTTATAGTGGAATTACCCATTGAAAATGGTGATTTTCCATAGTTTTTTGTATGTTTACCAGAGGGTACATGTTGAAAAAACGTGGTTAAAAGATTAGTATCACATGGCTACAGGATGGGGCCCTATAAAGATAGCTAAATTGAGATATAAGTGGCTCAATTCTATGGTTTATGGCAGATATAGCTATAGATAACTATAGTTTTCCTGGTGTTTATAAATCAACTTATAACTGAAGGGCCCCATCCTGTACGCTAATACTAAGCTCAAATTGACCTCACAGCAGTACGCCAAGAGTTGTATGATGATTGACCGATGGACCCATCACAGGCCATTCAACTCCCCAACTGTAGATATATCTTCAGATATTAAATCGCCACCATTTTTATGCAAGCAAACTAAAAATCAACAAGCAATCATAAATCGACTATAAACCAACATTTTTCTTAGCTAATTCCCCAATTCTTACTGGGTAAACTACCATTTTTGTTGGTTGATTCCCCCATTTTGGCAGGTGAAATCAGCGCTTTTCTTGGGAAAACACCGGGAAAGCCACCAGCCGCCAGTGGGCCTTAGCAATCTCCAAGTCTTCAGGTCGTTGGAAGCTCTTCCTACAGCTGGAAGTGTCGAAACAGCGCTATGACTCTGTATATGTATATATTCTCTAATGTATATTGTAGATGTACGGGTAGATATAATATAGATATAGATTCTAGATATAGGATAGATTGTACTGATACTAACATAGAATATCATATATTACAATAGAGTATAATAGACGTATAGGAATCACCCCAAACAACATTTGTTTCTATCTTTTCGGAGGGTGATTTACATGGGACCCCTCTAAGTTTACTACTGTTGAGCAGCTTTAAATCACTAAAAAAAAAGTCTTTGCACACTTTAGAGTCTTTAGAGTGGTATTTCAGGGAGGTTGCCAGATCTACATGTATATAAATAATTATAAATATAGGGAAAGCCGGTTCGACCCAGGAAGGAAATCTTCACAACAGGACGATGATCCTCAAGATTCCCAATAGTAAGACAATTGTCTTCCATGCCCAGAACTTAAAACATACTGTACAAACTACTACTGAGCGATTGGGGGTGGCTTTCAACCTTGAGGTTCAATCTAGGAGGCATTGCATACTCCACTCGGGTTTGTCTGAGAAGAGGCCGCCGACAAGTTTCGCAGTATATCATCATTTTCCATGACATTAAAACTTGCAATTTGTTGTGCTAGACCCAACTGATGCGGTAAAGAAACTACCGCTTTGATCTTATCGTTTTTTTTTGCTTATCGTTTTCCAAGATTTCTGCATTCAAGCAAACCTTGAGAGACTCACACATTCAGCTTTCGTCAGAATTACTCCTCCCTCTTTGGGGTCAACCTCCATGGCTTGTGGGCCCAACGGTGTTCAAGGCAGAATTTTGGGTTGATTTTGTTATCGTTTTGTTGCCGCTTTGTTGTTACGTCAACGAAAATACAGCGCAGTGCAAAACATCTGACTTGCGGCATGAATCCCATGCCAGTAGAGTATCAGTAACATAACGTTTACGTACATACTGCGGGCTATCGTTTTGTTTTCCTTCCTTATCGTTTTACAGTGAATGGGCAATAACGAGTACGAACGGGTACCTGCTTAGCTAAATTTAAGGCACGGAGTTTTTTTATTACTTCCTCAATTCTCAGACAGGACCCAAATCATTTTTGTTGGTTATACATATATATATATATGTATGTATGTATGTATGTATGAATGTATGTATGTATGTATGTATGTAAGTATGTGAGATTTTGTCCCTAATTCCACAGGATTTCCATCAGTTTCCCTACTAAGTTCTAGCATGTTCTAGCCATTTAGGGGCACAGCATGGTATATCCATGTATATCCCATCTTCAAACATACTATCATACTCATATTTCGAAAAAAATATCCCCACACTCATGGTATACCATACTCATATCCCATCATATCCCATCATATCCCATCATATCCCATCATATCCCATCATATCCCATCATATCCCCATGATTTCTCGTCATTTCTTAGTGCCTCGGAGTTCGCCGTTTTTCAGTTTTTGGGTCCCGTCAAAAACACCAAGCATCTCTTCGAGTAAAGACTCCAAGGCTTCGGGGGTCACCTCAATGGTGAACCCGACGCTTAAAATGAGGGAATTTGTTGTGTGTTTTTGTCCATCTGTTCAATGGTAAAAATTGGTTATTTCTATGGGGTTATAGAACAATTCTATAAATGGGAACTTATATAATGTTAATAATTAGTTAAAACTACTGGCTATTTTTTATGGGATTATACATTATTATAAATGGGGTTATACATTATTCTATACTATATACGTTCATGGCCAATGGCCATGGCTATATGATTCAACCATGATAGAAAGGGGTATGATATGTTCCTCCATAACCATTTGCAGATTCACCATTTTATTGCTGATTCACCACGGCCAATCTTAGATACCCTGCAAAAAAATAACTTCTTGGCTGGTGAACGTAGATAATCCCATGCCAAAAGACTAGTTAGGATTAGTTTGTATACCCATCCAAGATTGACCTAGTTATATGGTTATCAATACATGCTTGGGGATGATGAATAGTAAAATGATTCCAGGTATAATCCATTATGCTTGGGCGAGTCTCCGAGTCCATCATGAATTTCCGCCACCCCAACCACACATAATCCATGGAATTTTTAGCCCATGTATTGACTTGGTTGTTGCACTTGATCCTACGATTGATCCATGGATTCTTTTTGGGGCCCCTGGCTGATGGGACATTGATTCCCATTATCTTTCCAGACATTTTTTGGGGTTTCCTATGGGAGTATGGGAATGGGGGTCCCATCAGAACGGGGGTCCCTGTAAATTCCACACATGCAACCCAAATAACTGGGGATGATTCCATATCTTTATTATATATGTATATATTATACATATATATATATATATATACATACATACAGGATTATAAGAGTTACCCTCCAAAAAAGATAGAACAGTTGAACAACTGGAAATTGCAGGGCAAAAAAAACATGGAACTACCATCCTGGGTTCATACTTTTCGGCATCTTTTTTTTGGGGTATACTATATAAATGGGTTATACTATGGTTATGGCCAGGACGGGGGTGCTGCCCGGCGAAGTGGATTTTAACTGCGCAGGGCCAGTGTTTTAATTATGCATTTTGGGATGTCGGCCAAATGGCAACTTGGCTGACGAGACTTTTTTCCAAAACACATTTTTTCTAAAACCTAAGCCCTAAATCTGACATGAAGCCCTAAGTAAGCCTTGAAAGGAACCAATTATTAAAACCGTGAAACAAAAAAACAAAATAAACAAAATCATATGAAACCTTCAAAGCCAAAACAAGGCCTAAAGAGTTGGTCCCATGATGAAACCTCTGGGAGGCACCCCCTGGGTTGATATCTTGGGGGGATGCGATTCGTCTGGGATCATCAAGACAAGGTAAAACATGGTAAAACCACCCAGCAGAAACAAACACCCCATGTTCGTCTAGAGTCAAGACTGCACATCAATGTTCAACTCATTCCAATCAAAAGCAAAGTACTGCTGGATTTGATGTGACATGGATTGACATGGATGTCAATTAATCATGCCTGTTCCCGGTTGCTACTGGCGCTCTCTGAAAAGCTCTATAGCCAGGATGATTCCACCCCCAGTTTTCGATTCCTGGAGGGCGATTCTATGTCCGATGAAAAAATCACCCGGTGATTCCAGGGAATCCTGTGAGTTTTGTGGGGCGATATATACTGTATTATACTCATAACTTAAACTTATCATATTTCAATCATATTTCTACTTCTTTGTGATAATACCTGCAGGGATTTGTCCAAAAAAAAACAACGTCATGAAAACCCAACATTTTTTTGGTGCCAAACTCAGCAACGTCACCTGGGGAGTGGTCAAGAGTGGCACCAGCTCGGTATTGAACTCCACCTGGGGACGCGGATAAAGCCATGCACATGATGTGTATATTATACAATAATCCACATCTACATGGTTTGATATGTTAACATTCTACATACCATTAAAATCCATATTACATTCGTACAAATTATTCCTTTATTGATTTGTTGTACATTATTTGACAAAGAAAGACACACGTTAATACGGCAATTGCATCCCCAGAAACTCCGTGTGGAGTGTGTTTCCTCATGAGCAGTTGCCATAACAGATGACATATGAGGACCAAAATGTTCTTTGCTGATCTTAATTTTTGGGAGGATGAATTCAACACGCCTCATACACCTTGGCAATGGAAAACCCTCCAATTATATCTAATTAAATCCATTTATATATAACATCTTTCGATCAAGTTCATTTAAGCTCCATTCTTTACCTATATATGGCCCATAATCATAAAATAAATATTAGGCTGTCTCTTGGAATCTTTGATTTCTGGCTGACTTTCTACTTTCCCTCGAACTAACATACGACCGTCCCAAACTAGCATTTGGAAGACTACAATTCCCCTAAAAAGTGGTGATTCTCAGGGTCACGCTGCTAGTTGGGGGGATGGTAAACCGCTACATCACCGTTTGAGCAGGTTAAAATCCTCATTCATTTCCATCTTTGATTGGTAAAAAAGAAACAACTCTCAACATCCACTCAAAATCCACAGACAAATCAACTAAAATCACCCTTGTTTCAGCAAATTTCGACAATTTTTCACTTCCCGTTCCCTTTCCAGAAAACGGTACCGCACCTGAAAAACGCCTCTGCCGCTCCGTTGCAGCGAAGCCAAATGCCGTTCCCAGCACCGCCGCCCAGAAACGCCGCTGTCGACGCCAGAAACGCTGTCTCCGTCGCTGAGGAGCCATTTGGTGGTGAAGGGAGAGGACAGCCATTCCTGGACAGAACATCTTGGGAGATTCGCTTGGAATGATTTTTTTTTTCAAGGGAATTTGAATGAATTTGAGATCTTATTGGGGGGATTCCGGAGATTTGGGAAGAGAGTCTGGAGACCAGGTTAGGGACACTAAGTTGGGAGACTTGGGAAAGGCTTTTGGAGAGATTTTATTCGATGGGGAATCGGAAAGGGAAAAAAATAGTTTGATAGCCGAAAAAATGATTTAACATCAACTTTTTCCTTGAAGGGAGATTGGGTGGGAATCTTGTCTTTTTCAGTGGTGTAAGATGGTTTAAGTGCAACTCAACAGCGTTTTTTTGGAGATTTGGTTGGTTTCAGGGAAATGTACGGAAATCATGTTTTTAAAGCCTTAGACTTAGACAAATAGGGGGGGTTGACGCAACATCAATAGAAGTCTTCTGTAGTCCCGGCCGACCAGGTTTGATAGGCAAATTTGGAGTAGCCATTGAACCCCCGTTGTTCTCAAAGTTCGCAGGACCAAAATGACCATGACATGTTCAGATTTTCCTGGGAATTTCAGGATCCTAAAATGGAGGTACCGTACCATATAAGACCATATTTTGTGGGGATATTCCCTTACATAGGCCTGAAAAATAAGCCAAAAATATATGGTAGGTACCTCCAATCAATCGGTTCCTGTTGCATGGCCATTAATATCTGACCCAACTCCTGGATTTTCCAGGCAAATCTCCAATCGCCTCCAACCCCGACCCAACCGCCCAGTGGCGCAAGTATCACGCCACTGCGAGATCTGCTCTTCACCTGAGAAGATGCCGGGTGCTGGGGGACCATCATCCCATGCCTGACAAGAAACAATACCATCTGGTTATGACTAACATAGCCATGGAAAATCCCAACCATAAATGGAGGTTTCTAGCTGGGAAAATCATCTATTTCTATGGGCTATTTTCCATGGCTATGTTAAATAACCAGAGGGTACATGGGTTTGTCTGAAAATCACAGTAGCCCTATTTCCTGGTGAATCATCATTTTCCCTTCTAAATGGCTATAAATTAAGGAGGTATACCCCATTTTTAAAAACCTGTAAGCCCCAAGATGGAGGTGAAAACTCGACCGGCTCGCAGGATTTGAGCCCCCAATTTCTGTGTTCTGCAAATTGCTGCAACGTATATTATGTAGTATTCATGCCAGGTGAAAGAATTGGATGAAATGGACATAATCAAAATCAAAAAGGAATCTCTAATCTATAATCATGTAGTGTAGTGTAACGTAGTAGGGGATCTAAATAGTCACGGAACACATTACGAGGGCCCCGGTTTTTGTTCCAACGTTGGGAGATCACGAACCAAAACCAACTGCAACGCCAAGTTGCTGTGATCCAGGTAGAGAGTGCAACAATCCTATGGCAGAGTGATGGAGAAGAACCACATCCCCAAATCAATTGCAGGGACTTGCTTCTAAATCTTCTATATAATATCTTCCAAACTGTCCATTCGTGTCCAATATTGTTGTCCTGTGCAATGGAAGCGCTATGTAGTAGTGTGTTCCGGAGGAATCCAAGAGGAAATTGACCAAAACCAGAAAATTGTCAATGATCCATGATGACAAACAAGGTGAATGATTTATCCAGACTTACTTCAACGAAGCCATTTGACAACAAAAATACAACAACTTGGAAAGCAGGAACAAAACAATCCATGGATCCTCCCCTGTTCCTCTCACCTGTTCGGTTATCCCCACCACTGCTGCTAAACGTGTCCATCGTGCAATTTGCTGCCCGTGTCTCAAGGCCAATCTTACTCAGTGGGGTGGAAAATCCCTAAATCATAGGGATTACAAATGAGTAGCAGTGCGTATAATCACAAAACATCAAAAAATAACATAACATTTCATCTTACGATTGAAACTGCATCACAAGAATCTCTCATAGAAATGCCCAATGAAATGGCCATCCTCAATAATTCTCATGGCAAAAATGATGATAAACCATGGATAACCCAGCAAACCTTGCAGCCAAGTGGCCAAGAAGACTCCCCGTTCCTCCTTCGACTTGACGTCGCCGTCACCGAAAAAACGGTTGGCCCGGCCCAACTGCCGCGAGAGACTGCCAGCGCTCTCCTGATTCGAAGTGGCTATGAGGAACCCTGAAACACAGGGGATGGTTAATGGCGTTAAAAGGATATTAATGGAATGATGGATACCTAGGTTTAACCTTGGATATTGCCTTAATAGCTGGTATAACTGGATGTTGATTCCCCCAAGTATGGCCATAGGTTTTGACCCCCATGTGATGAATTCCTTGATGTGAAAACATGTCACTTGATGTGAAAAACCACGGTGGGATACAGTGGATTCAACCCCCAAAGTGGGATTTCATGTTAACCATCACCAGTCAGGCTTAATCCACCGTTCTTCACCGGTAAAATCACCATTTTTTCTCAATAAAACCATCATTTTTCACAGCAAAACCACCATTTTTCAAGGTAAAACCACCATTTTCACGGTAAAACCCACCTTTTTTGAATATGTTTGATGGTTAAATTTCCATGAACCTCAATGGTCAACGTCCCCAGTCCATCAACTTCCCGTCCTGCGCCGCAGCTTCCGCGGACAGCACCACGAGGCGCTCGGCGGCCGAGGCCTCGTCCAGGGAGTCCATCTGAGTCCAAATGGCCTCGAAGGAAGGGATGGGATATATATAACATATATAACATATATAACCATATATATATAACCATAGTGGTTGAATCATTTGAATATATTATAACCATTAAATAGTGGTTGAATCATTATATGTAACCATTGTATCCATAGTCCGTTGTTGGTATGTAATATATATATATATGTACATGTATAAAAAAACAATGTATATATACATAACATTCTATCCCCATAGTCCTTGGTATGTATAACCATTACTTCTCAATATATACAAAAATAGTCCCTATTATGTTATGTTTATACGCACCATATTTTGGATGGTACATCACATTGTAGGAACATAAACAAGAAATCGGCTGACTTGCCGATTTTTGTCACTATGGTGCTTCAAACCAGGAATATAGTGGTTGAATGGGCAGATAATGGGAGATAATATGATGCAGTGGGATATAACCAACAAATTTCATATGGGTCAAAAACATGATATATACTGGGAAAATAATGAAATATAATGAGGATATATGTAATGAGGATATAACCAAGCATTAGTTGGCTATCATGGTGGAAAAAAAACATGCATAGTTGTTGAATGGGGATATAGGGAGATATAATGGGATGAAATACGATCTAAATGCAACGGAAATTTGGGCTCGCTAGTTCGATGCAGCCCAGCGCACCTTTTCTTTTCAGCGCTCTGCTTCAAAGGTAAACCAAAAAGGGCTGCGGTACATGAACATGAATCATGCTACCTAAGAAGAACAGATCCTAGGTACACCCTATACACCAACACGCCTCCCGAGGGGAACGTGACTCAGGTCTGTTACCCGAGCTTGGTGCAAACTGTCTCAGATTCGTCACCAGGCTCAAGCCCTTCAGTCTAAACATCGAGAGCTAGACCATGTCGTCCAGTTGCATAGAAGTAGTTCATGCCCTCGAGTAGTGTACGGACTCGTGCTTGATCTAAGGGTTTCGTGAGTAAGTCTGCCAACATCTTCAGGGTCGGTTGTTTGCCCAGAGATATGCGTTTGGCATTGACCGCGTCCTGGACCCACAGAAAGATGGTGTCCAGATGCTTACTCTTCCAAGTCCGTGTCTTGAACCTATTGATAAACCTGTAGTTGAATCCATCCAGATGTGAATGGGGAACCACAGTCCCCAGTCTCGAAGGACTGACTGCTCACCAAGGGCATTGCATGCTGCAGATGTAAGCGAATAATATTCCGCTTCTCCGCTAGAGAGCGCGATCACGGCCTGACCTTTACAACTCGTTTTCGTCGTCGATCCTCCGATTCGAATGCAATAGCCAGTTGTGCTCTTCCGAGTTCGCAAACATCCAGCGTGATCTGCATCACACCAAACCTCTAGGCGATGCGCGGTCTGTTGAAACGGAAAGAGGTGGATGAGTCTCGGTTTGTTCTTTAAGTACCGAGCGCCACGTTTGAGCATCATCCAATGAGCTTTGGTAGGATTCTTCAACCCTTTTGCTAACTCCTTGGCCAGCACCTGTAGGTCTGGTCTGTCTTGTGCCAAATATAGGCTAGCCGCATACTCACCGAACGATACCTAGGTACCTCTGAAGATTCGAGCGGTTCAGAATTCTCCACTTCCTCCAATCTTTCTTTGACCAGAGCCGTAGTAACTTTGGCTCCATCGCATCCCATTTCGCGAATGATGAGTTCAGAATGGCGGGGATCTGCTTCCAGTTCAATCCCTCGCTCAGTCCATGTCACCAATCGGTTCAGAATGTCAATGCTTTGCTTGGTTCCAGGCATCCCTGGCGGACCCAAATAACCACGATTTTCCACCGTCCAGTGTTTTCCAAGTTCTGTAGCGAACCACTTCAACTGATCCTGAGCGCCAAGACCAGTGAAGTCGTCTCCATGGACTTCCACTCTGATACCTCGAACTGGATGAAAGTAAAGGCAACTGTTTGACCTTCCTTGCACAAATCCCAAGAGGGTCATTACGCGAAGGATCGTCGCCTCCCAATTGGCTGGCGCATCTCTGGTCCCATATAGGGACTTTTTCAGAAGTCCTACGAACTTCTGCGTATCAACGCCAGTTTCAATTGGTAACTCCACCAGGATGCGTCTCCGGGCATCTGCCCAGAAATTGGCTTTCTTAATATCCAGGAAAATTAAGCACTGATTGCGGGGCAATTCCTGCATTCGGCCATCCAATCCTGGTACTCTCCGAGTGGTGGCCAATGCGAACAAAGTCCGCAGTGCACTGATTGGCGGCATAGATGCGTAGAAATCTTGCCATGACGGTGTGTGTGGATCCGAAGATACTCCACTACGGAACGTCTTTTTCAGCTCGCGTGCCACCAGTCGGCTGCGATACTTTGGCTGACGTTCGTCTTTCTTGTTGATGTCAACCCATCTGGTCGATACGGTCTTTTCGTTCTTTGGGCGTGGGATCACTTCCCACACTTGCATCTCTTTGATGGTGGACAGCTCCTCGAAACGGGACTCGCGAACAAGTTCCGGTTTCAGAGGTTTCCCCGATATATCGTCATAGTATGACGTCTCGAATTCCTCATACCCACTTGTGTCGAATTTCTCTTCGCACACTGGATAAGGGTCTCCGGCGACAGAATTAAGAAATCCTTGTCGCAAGCTGAGTAAGAAGTTTGTCACCATCGCATCTTCTGTCTCTGCAGGCCTTTTCCGAGAAGTGGCTGACTCCTCGGAGACTTCCATGTTCTGTGGTTGTGAGACACTTAAGCTAGGGCCAGATGCTGAAGCAGCACTCTGACCGCTGGTTGCTCCTGGACCAGGTGTCGAAACGACACTCTCATCCGGTGACACTCTCGCTTTCTTTGCACTTTCGCTATGAATCTTCTTGTGAGGACTCGCCTCCTGACCATTAGTCTCTTCCGCGTTTCTCTTCTCTGTCAATCCTGACCCGGACCTGGGACCGGGTACCGACACGGTACTCCGATCCTTGGACCCTCCGTCAGGCTGTTCAACCTTCCGAGCCTTGACGGGCCCTTCCTTGCGCTTGGCAGCTTCCAAACGCTTTCGACCTTCTGTGGTTTCTTCCAATTTCTCCACCAACCTCGCTCGGCAAAATCCCGTGTGGTGGACTCCTTCACGTGAAACACCGGCACGAATTAAATCACACGCCGGACAGGACGCTGTGTATCCATGTTTGTCCAAATCCGTTTGACGGAGGTAGACGCGCCGTGGCGCCTCACTCCTTTCTGCCGGTACGGCCTCCTTTGCAGGCTCGTCTGGCAATTCTGGCTCAACCGTGACTGCTTCCGGCAGCTCCTGCGCTTCCTCTGGTCGAGCCGCTCGACCAGGGACTGGCGCCCATGGTGTACCCTTGACCTTCTTGAACAGGTCAGGGTCCCAACGAAGTTCCTTTGGCTTCCGTCTGATTGATTGCACGACCACCACGCCGTTCTCAGTAGCGACAACCTTTTCCGTAGTATTGAGTCTGATGCCACAAAAGATACCTGTGGACCACCGTGCCTCCAACTTGTGCTTCGTTCGCACTCTGTAGTCCACTGCCTCTCCCCAAGGGGGCAGCGACACCTGCCAATCACGTCCCTTCAGTCTACGGAACGGTGTCAGGCCATCCTTCATTGTATCATCATGGGCATACAAAGTGTACATGTTGCCCGCATGCTCGATCAGCCAAGCCAACATTGGTGACTTGGGGTCGATAATTTCTCCCATGCCTATTTCACAGGCATCCTTGTAAGTTCTGCACAACCCCTGGGTGATCTCAACGGCTGCCTCGGCTTCCCCGTTGGATTTCCCATGATGATCTCCCTTAGGAGAGTTCTCCAGTTGCACCCTTACGTTTGAAGATGCAAACGCATTCTTTACAGCATCTGCGACAGCCTTGATTGAAAGCTCCTGATCACTCTTGATGACCAGGCTTGGGTACCCTAGGAACTGCAAGTCCCTACACAGTGCTTGTTCTGGGTAGAAGTGTTCCACACCTTTGGACGGAACCAAGTGCGTGAACAGCGCTTTGCTCTTGCGGTCTCTCACCGCGAGAACTGGCATCTTTGCTCCCCCAACTGCATCGGAGGGCAATTCACCTGGGGCTCCGAAGAACCCATAGTCTATGCTGATGACCGGAATTTCTTCTGGATCATCGGATCTCACGACCCGACGATGGGCATAGCTCTTTCCACGTCCTCGTACGCAGTGCGAACACCATGCCCTGAACGGAATATGACTAACTGCATGAGCTTCGATTTCTTCCGGGCTTGGAAGGCAGGGTGCTCTAATTGGCTTCGCCTTCCTGCCTTCTTCTGGTTCAACCACTGGTTGTCCATCCTCTAAATCTCCGAAAATCCAATCTTCGAAGAAATCATCATCAACTTCGGCCTCACCATCCAAAGGGGCCGTATGTCCAATAGGTTCCTGGGGGCTCGAGCCGACACGGCTCTGCACCCCCGAAGCGGGATCGGAGCTGAAGCAGCTCTCGGTCCTCTGCGGATAGGACAACTTTGTTTCCTTGGTTGACCATCTGACCAACTGAGATGAGAGGCTGTGAGATGTTGGCAACAGCCATTCTCATTCCAACCTCCTCGTTGCCCATAAGCCACGCTTTGGCTACCAATGTGCCCTCATTCGGCACAAGGCTCCCATTGGCCAACCTGAAACTGTGATACCCCACGGACTCACCAAGCTTCACCTTGCCCACCAATTCCTTGGGAATGGTGGTTGCACTTGCACCGGAGTCGATGACGAAGTCGATCCGTGTCCAACCAGGGTATTTCTCTGAAGAGTTGTCACCGTGACCAGAAAAGGAAGTCAAGTGTCCAATGCCTCCAGGTCCACCGGTCTTCTTCTCCTTTAGTCGTTGCTCTCTGCGTCTTTCTCTCTTGTGCTTAGCCTTCTTCTGCTGTGAGGTCTTCTTCCTTGCCGACGGCGGAAGCTGCTTTGTTCGTGCCGTAGGCGGCGGCAACTCAAGGAAAGCCGTTTCCTCCTCCTCAAGCAACGCTGTCCTGGCCTTCTTGGACAATGGTGCTGCTTGGACTTCATTTGCCAAGACTCCTTCAGCTAAGGGGAAAACTTGCACCTTTCGACCAGTGCCAGGCCGATTGAAGCGTCGAGGCCACTCATCTTCTCTTTCAAGCCTTTCCTCAGTCCTTTCAGCCTGACCGGCCAACCTATGACTGGCTGCACGTTTCCTCGACCTTTCCTTGACGTAGGCCAAACGACGTCCCAAGGCTTCATTGTCTCGCTCCTGTCTTGCAGAATGGCCTTCTCGATTCTTTCTTCGAAAGGCTCTCTGCTCGCCTTTGAGACCTTCAATCTCAAGTTCCAGATCTGCAACGTTGTTCAAGACGGCCTCATCATGTGCTCCTTTGTCATCCAAGGATTGACGGAGTACCTCTAGTTCATCAATCCTCTTCGATATCAGCTCTCCTAGGACAATAGACCTTGAAGCGTTGTTCACTTGGTACGGCGCTGCCTTGGAGGATGAAGAGCCACCGGCACGACTCTCACCCTGGGTCTTCGCTTGCCTCTTGTGTGGCGGGACGTATTTTGCACCTAAAGCACCCGTCGCTTCAGAGATCTGTTCCGATCTCCTCTTGTGGGGTGGAAGGTACTTCCCAACTTGCTCCGGCTCCTTAGCAGGAACCATGTTCTCCTCCTCTGCCACTGGTGCTAGCTCTGTTCGGCCACGTCGTCTAGGAATCGGAGATCTAAGGTGATTTGGGGTCTTAGGAACACGTGGCGAAGCAGGTACTGAAGCAGTACTCTCCTTCCCAAGGTCCTCAACGACGTCAACCTCGTACACAGACTGCACGCTCGTCACTGTCTCCGCTTCAGACTCTCCTCCTTCCTGTGCCTCGTCAACCATCTCTTCCTCCTTGCTTGGCTCGGATCCCGCGTCCGAGTGAGCTTGCACCTCTGACAATACTTCGTCCTCCGATCTTTCTCCTGCTTCGTGCCTTCCTTCTGTTGCTTCTTCAGCTTCTGCTTCTTCTGAACCTTGCTCGGACTCAGGGGTCTGGTCATGTTTCGAGTAGTCAGGTTCCCTTGGAAGGTAAATCCAAGTATATAGGCTTCTCATCGTCACAGTGCCCCGGCTTGCGCAGTGCAATTTCTTCTTCAGGAAATTCAGGCCTTATATAGTAGCCACGTTTGGCTTCAGCTTCCCAAGCTGCCCACTGTTGGTCATACGGGTGGCCCGGACAGTGCAGTTTACTACCCAAGTGACGTTCCAGATCCTTCACAGTCTTAAAGGTCTTTTGACGTCCTCCACAACCAGGCACTGGGCAACGATAACCAGGGCCAGCACCATACCGATCCTTCCTACACTCTGCCATGGCCACATCCTTGGGTCTGGACCAGAACCATGACAAGACTCCAAACTCAGGACGAACAATGGTCCTTGGAGTTTCTCGGTCCATAGGCGTGGGAGTCCGAGCTGAAGCAGCTCTGGGCTCCCGATGGGCCCGTGCTGAAACAGCACTGGATCCACCAACCACGCAGACAAGACCCAAGTCGCTCTCAGTCTCTGAGTCTGTCCTCCCTGGCCATTCCTGCGCACAAGCCTCTTCATCTTTCTTGTCTACAAGTCTCTGAGCACCGCATTCTCCACCATGGGAAGGTTTGCCAACTTCCTTTGAGCCTTCTTTGCAGAGCTGATTGGCTGATGGTAATCCACCGTCCTGTTGGGAGCAGTCATTTGCCTCTACACGATCTTTCGAGATCACTTCTTGGGATACCTCCGCTTCTTCCTGCCATCGTCTTGTAATGTTTCCCAGGTCTGCTTGGAATCTTCTGGCCTGATCTTGTAGGCCACGCTCCAGCGACTCAAACTTCTGTTGTGCACTGTGTGCGACTTGAGTCATTCCAGCTTGCATTGCATGCCACACTTGCCCAAGGGGAAGTTCTAAGGCTGTAGTGCCTGGTCCAAGTCTTGCTGTCCCTTTTCCTCCTGTTGGCGACTCCATCACCAAGTCCTGTGCCAAACTCGCTTGGCCAGGGCACGAACTGAACCAGCTCTGTGCCTTTGGAGCATGGGACCCATTTCGCTTGCCAGGCGCTTCCAGCTCCCAAACCAGGAGCTCCGCTACCATGCAACGGAAATTTGGGCTCGCTAGTTCGATGCAGCCCAGCGCACCTTTTCTTTTCAGCGCTCTGCTTCAAAGGTAAACCAAAAAGGGCTGCGGTACATGAACATGAATCATGCTACCTAAGAAGAACAGATCCTAGGTACACCCTATACACCAACACTAAAACTGGTACACATAAACATTTTGAACATAAATTTCATCAACAAATTGTGGTTAAAACCTGAGAAACAACAATGTGAGTAACTAAGAAGCCAATATAGGGGATTGAATGGAACGTATATATATACATACATGTATCGACACATAACACATACATAAATTACAAGCAAAATATGATATTGGCTACGAAGGTGCTTCAAAAAACAAATATAGCGGGTAAATTGGTATATAAGGGGATATAAAGTGATACAATGTAAGCAACTTGATATGATATAAGAATGTATCTCACAGCTTGAATGGGTAGTATAGCCCCCTATATGTTCAATACTATTTATCAATACCAATAAACAATTATGGATTCCGATACTTCTTACAAGGTGGTGCTCCATATTTGCTAAGTTGATTCAGTTCAGCAGATAACGAATCCTATAGTATATGTAATATTAAACTTATTAATGCTATCCAAAACATGACTGCGGGGTCAATCTGCGTGTGTGGTTGGTGCATATCCCTGCGTATATATATATATATATATAATTATAACACACACACACAGTAGCAAAGAAATTGAAGGTCCACCCAGGAAAAAAACGATATCCACCTGTGCCATATGAGTCTGGCTGACCCCAATTTTGGGATGCTTAAATACTCAGACCGTCTGCTGGTACCAAACTTTATCCCTATTTTGATTTTTTGTCATACTCCTATTGTTGATCGTTGTCATACGGCTCTCCAAACAATAGATAGATGGATAGACAAATGGATAGATTGGTAGATCGATAGATATGTAGGCACGAAAATAGATGAATAGACAATTTGGCAGGCGAATAAATCGATGAAGTAGATACCCTCTGGTAATTTGTTACATAGCTATTGAAAATGGCCATTTATAGTGGATTTTCCCATTAAAAATGGTGATTTTCCATAGCTATGTTAGTTTACCAGAGGGTAGAAACTAATTGTGGACTAAGTCCCTCCAGGATGTTTGATACGATCTACACCGGGTTATTGCCAGAGATGGGAATCCAACACCTCCACTTCGTAGGGGATACCACAGAGAACCCGCTTGTTGAGCCATGATCGCTGAGTCAAGCTTTTCTGGTTGGTGGTTTTAACCATATTGAAAAATATTAGTCAATGGGAAGGATTATCCCATATATTATGGAAAATTAAAAAAAATTGAAACCACCAACCAGTTTTATCAATGAATGAAACAACTAAACCGATCTAAAGCCACTGACCCGAGAATTCATTCAACCAATCTGCATTGAGCCCATACCAGCCAACTTTGCCCAATGGGAATGCTTTCGTAGAATCATGTTAATCAGTCACAATTAATTTCTGGGTTACAACATGTTACAACCAGTAGAGGCGACTTATCAAACCATATCTTTAAACAAAAATGGAGCACTGAGCTTGGGGTGGCACCGAAATTACAGAGGATTGTGGAGGAGTGCCTCCCCATTGCTGACCCTTTGTGACACAGGTGACCTGCCATCAAAACCAAACGGCAATGTCCATTTCCTCCAGATTGGATCACTTCCGATCTTAGATACCATGCAAAGAAAACCAGCTGGTTTTACATTATATAATGCAACTATATATACTGTACTATATATAATATAAAATACAATATACTATAGTATCATAAAGCATAATATAATACAATATGATTTAATATAGTATAGTAACACGTATTGAAATAACAATTATTACATTAAAAAACCATTTAAAAACACATATAATGAATTACAAAATAAAAAAAATAAAATACGGTAATATAATAGATAATAGATAATATCATTATATATATATATATACAAATCCAATTTGTAGCAAAATACTATATCCTATACTTCAGTGACTTCTCTACCCATCCAGTTGAAACGGATTCGCCTCTGGTGGCAAGGTGGCTCGCGTGGGCAAGTCCGCCAAACCCAAGCTGAAGGGTTCGAAGGCCAAAGCCAGCCAGGAACCTTAGGCGTTGATGCTCTTTTTACATAGGACAGATCTAATTTTCATGGAAATACAATGGAAATACAATGGAACTACAATGGAAATACAATGGACATACAATGGACATACAATGGACATACAATGGACATACAATGGACATACAATGGACATACATTGGAAATGCAATGTGATATAAATATAGTATTTGTTTGATCCTGGGGATACGACAGGTATACTATGCACAAATCATGTTTCTTGGAGCGATATATTGGCGAGATATTAACCAAAATGGTGCGTTTAACCGACACATGAGGATTTTTTTCGACTCACATCGTGACTTAACCAACAAACGCCGGGGAATTACCGTGAGCCATGCAAATTGGGATCTCTTGAGGATACATCTGGGAACATATATATATAATATAATATATATATATATATATGTATATATATGCACATAATCAACCATACAGATGGGATCTACTTGATCAAGTGCCCTTAAATCTGAGGATTGTTTTGTCTTACAATTCTGAATTCCCTATGATGGGATACAATGGTATATTATGTTTAATCTAAAGATATACACACGATTACACACGTGACCAACACGATCTGAGAAAATAATGGTGATCCCTTGGTGGTTTCAATGTCGAAACACATCAGTGTCACGTTAGTGAATGGGGATTCTCATCCCAAATCGGAGACACATTGAGAAAAAAACACCATTTTGGTGGAACCATAAAGATCTTGTTTTCTTGTTTTGGTGGAACATCAGGAACATCATATGGTATCTTCAATGATCTTTATGATGGTCGATAAACAATGATAAAACATGTTTCTTCCATAAAGATCAACCATATTTATGCGGTTTTTAGGTCGTTTCGCGTATAAAAAACGGTCCCGCAAATATCTGTGGGATGGAACTCTGGTTGATCCTCTGGTGGAAACATATTCTGTGGGAGGTCCTTGAAAATACGCATTCAAAGAATTTCAAAGATAGATTATTAATGATTATTATATTATATGGGTATATTGAATCTAACATAAAATAGATCAAACACCTTTCAGGATCTTTCAATGATCTTATTTTTCATGATGTGTTGTTTCCTCAAAAAACTCCAAGTTTCCACTTGCTTTCAATATGTTTTGGGTTTGACCCTCTGGGAATCAAGCATTCCAAAAATGATACGCTGTGTAAGTCAACACTTTGCCATGGAGTTTAACCATTTTTAAGAACGGTGAAGCGGCACAATTCATGGGCCATCTATTCCAGTTTGCAAATTACTGCCAGTATTATGATTAGCATCGCGGCATGGACTGTTCTGGGAAAGGGACTGTTAAGCCAAACACATGCATATATATGTATATACACGTAATTTGATCCGTATAATATATATATATATATGGATATGTATATATATATACATAATCATATGCATGTATATACATATGTACATATATCTGGCCGAATTCCCATAATGTTTACTAACCCGAAACTCGATATGAGAATATACATTCAATCATTCATGACCCACCAATAAACATCCCCAAAATATCCCAAAAACACCGTTCAACCATGGGTGGAATGTGTACCATCCCCAATGGTTTCTCATATTGTATCCCCATTTTATGGGTGTTTCTTAAAATGGGGGATCCGCAAGTCATCATAGGTTTCAATACTAAAATTATTTCATGTTGGTTTCAATACTATTGTATAATCTCTTTTACACAAAATACAAAAATGGCACACATACATAACATAACATAACGTAACGTAGCATTACATTATATACCACACATATGTAACGTTGCAATCCCCAACTTGGTGGAGCTCAGCAGCCTTTCACCAGGACCACGCGGCCGAGGGCAACGGACCTGCCCGCTTTTTGGGGATTGCCAAAAAGCCATGTTTGGCCCGAAAAAACTGAAAACTAATGAAACAAAACACCAAAACAACACATATGTTAAATCCATAATATCTAAACCACAAGGAATGCTAGTGAGGCAAAATCCAAATCCAAGCAAAACCATGGGTTTGCCACTATAAAGCACAAAACTGGTCGAGTTGTATCGGCATGAGGCTACGACCGAAGCATGATCAGAATCTGCCAGATTGATCCAGATTGGGCCACAGGAAACTTGGAATATTATTGTATATAAACAAACCAATTGGCAACGTTGTTTAGACACATACTGCATGTTTAAACGTTTTTAAACGTATATTCTCGGAGATATAGCTGACCAACGGGCAGCAAAGGGGATCGGAGCTTCTCAATGATACATGATGGGTGTCCTGCAGCTGCAACTTTCCAAAAGAACTTAAGGTCTACCACAACCTTCCAAAAGAGTCTACAATGGTGCCCCCCGTTATGTTTGTTGCTTTATGACCCCCCTGAACTAGTTCGATATTATATATATACAGTAAACCCAACAGGTTTTGATAGCCGTTGACAATTTCTGAGAGATATAGATATTGGAGATATAATGGAGATATAAATATATATAAATAACATGTTACAAATAACTATACTTCAATATAATATACCTACCATAAACCTGACCACCCCTACGATTTCATCGATTTTCGCGCTTCCGAACTGTCCAAACTCACAACAGGAGGCCTCTGCAAGGATTGGAGGCTGCCGAAGTCGCTAGGCACCTGCCATGCCTCGGGGGATCTGATTGTAATCCAAAGACCTCCAAAATAGGCAGGAGTTCATAGGAGGACTGTCCAAAGCTTTTCATGATGATCCTGAGGGTCAAACTATTGGTTTCAGGATGTTTGAGGGATGCTTCAAGTTATAGAACCATAAATTTATATGGAGGTTTTCTGAAATAGGGTAACACCTAAATCCCTTATGCTATTGGGGTACCCCTATTTTAGGAAACCTCCATATAGCATACAACTAGCTGGTGACACAAGGATTCTTGATGTGTCATCAGCCTGGCAGGACATTTAACATAAATCGATGGGCTCCACAAGCAACAGTTCCTTGGGATTTAGAACCGAACGTATTTGGCAGAGTTCCGAATTTGAACAGCAATCCTTTTGACACTGGTATGCAGGAAATGTAGTAGGCTTATGGCATGTAGTCTCAGACTGTCAACTGATCGGAACCCCGAAGGAACACCTTTTTTTAGGAATCGATCTGTATCCAAATACATAATGTTTCGGTTTAAATATGCGTTTTATTTGTGTGAATATGGATATACTATGAGATACTGATGCTGCTAATGGTACATCACGGTACCAGAAACTCTTCCCCATCTCTGCCTCGGGCGGCACGACTTCCTCCGAAATAACTGGCGCCTCAGCTGCGATCAAATCCAAGTAGCAAAGCCAGACTTGGAGGTTTCCTAAAATGGAAGTCCCTAAAATGGCTAGTTTATAGTGGAAAATCCGAACACAATTATGGATGATTTAGGGGTACCCCCTTATAATAGGTTTAATAGGACACCTCCATTTCCTATAAGGCTTTCCAAGCGCATGTGTATCTCGAGTAGATCTCCCCGGCCACTTTTTTTGTTGTTTCATCCAACAGCCGATGCCCGTAACGGTAAACAATCATGATCAATCCCAAAGCTGGCATTCAAAATCTCTAATATCCATTAATTGTAGGTATTATATGTAAGTATATCCTAAACCCTCCTATTTCCACGTTTTTTTTGGCAGTTCCTTGGATCCAAATATAGTCTTCCCATGATTTCTCCATGACTGTTCCCTAGATTTGCCTAGATGTTCCATAAGTGTTCCATAGATTTTCCCAAATGTCCCATAGATTTTCCAGAAAATTCCGTACAGGTTCCATAGATTTTCCCAATTTTTCCATAGATTTTCCATAGATTTTCCCAAATGTCCCATAGATTTTCCAGAAAATTCCGTACAGGTTCCATAGATTTTCCCAATTTTTCCATAGATTTTCCATAGATTTTCCCAATTTCCTATGGATTTTCCAGAGATTTTCCCAAGGAGGTCCATCACCTCCCTGGCACCTGACAGGCTTCCACCAGCGCTTCGGCTTGGCCAAGGGCCTCCATCGCCTCCTTCTGGCTCCAGTCCTGGTGAAACCAGCTGGAACAGCCAGTTCAACAACCAGTTATATATATGGGTATGGATCAATACCTATTAATACCATTTTTAGGGGGATGAACATCCATTTACCAGCTATTTTGATGTTCACCAGGGGTACAAGGTTTTGACACACTGCCATATGGGAATATAATGGATTATATAAGTATCTATATATATATATGTATATGGGATTATATGGGATACCCCCAGTTCTATACCCTTGAGGAATTTAACATAGACCCTGGCAGGGGTTGGATGATGAGTTTCTACTCAAAATTGGTGATTTTCAGAGTCTATGTTAATTTACCAGGGAGTATATCTGGGTAATCTCAACTGATTTCGGATTTGTTTAAGTTATATAATATCTCAACTGAGGTAATTTTCAAGTTATATAATAATCCCAGTCCCACTTAGTGTGATTGTTTTGTGATTTACCACAGATTTAATATGTCACCAACGTGAAACCACGGTGAGGAGATCTCCAATATTAAATACATGATATGTGATATCCCATTGTTATTATCAATAAGTATCAGGGACCAATAGATCAGTTGGGTATTCTAGTATGTATATATATATATATATTCAATGGACTGATGGATTTATGCATAGCTATACCCAACAACTATGTATGGTTCATATGGATTTTGTATGATTTATTGGGATTGATATGGATTTGTGCTAGCTAAGCTGGTAAAAAAAAACTCCAGATAATGGCAATATATTCGAAACATGGGAGGTTTTCCAATACATGGTGGAACGATCTCCCTATTTATATATATATACATGGACACTGATAGCCGTTGATAGTTGCGAAAAAAAAACTATGAATGGTGGGTTTGATTACGATAATAAAAATCACAAGGGGATATATATATATATATGATTGTTGTATCATTATTATTCTTGTTATTCTTACTACCTAGCAATCATCATTATTGTTTTTATTAGTCGTTATATATCTGTATATATATATATGTATATATACACCCAAAAACTATGTACGGTATATAATATACAATATGCATGGATAAAATATACTACATCATTCATCTGGACTAAGGCATTTTGACGATGATGTCCCCTACTAACCATCATTCCAGTGACGTCACAGTGACTTCACTATAGCGTGTCCAAAAAAATATCCCGTACAAAGTTGTTGGGTATATACAATGAAAGCAATGGTTAGTATCGTTTGGCATGATATTATATGATAATTATCGATTATGATATGGGTATGATATGGGTGTAATTATTGTGTCAAATATTAAATGTGATGTGTATATATATATATATACATACACATACAAATACTCACTTATTAAATGAGATATACAACATAATATGTAAATACAAATAAATACAACACATATATCATACGACATCTAGAATATCTAAAATGATGACACATGACTTTATGTTATCTGGATATAGACACGATATACTTGTATACAGTAATAGTTATAGTTTATCTTAATGCTATTTTGATATAGTTTGGGAACGATCCGATTCTACATGTGTTGTATGGACTACTGTTGGTGGATCAGTTCAACAGTCACAGCATATGGTTTGGCCGTTCATCATATGTTGTGTGGTTGGTAAATATGGTGTATAATTGCAGATGTAATCGATTTATCTATCGATCCATTTATCTATGTTGGTAATACAACCATATACAAATACCATGTGTATATATATATATATACATGTATATGAATATATACATACTGTTTACTTATCCATTGTATCCATGCCTCAAGGGTGCAAATCATTGGCAAACAATGGGGAAACAATGGGATGGAATATGATGGGTTCCCAGAAAGTGTACTTGGAATATGTACAACATATTTATATGTGTATATATATGTGTCATGTTAATACTGATGTGTCATGTTAGTATATATGTATATGTATTATATATATATTGCCAATTTTAGGATCCCACAGATACATGAATGCCCCCCACAGTTTTGTTTGTTAGATATAATGTCACCTCATGGAACTAGCGAAAAAAAAAACATCCACCAATTTATCCAATCGCTGGCATGGTTTAAAAAGCAGCTTACCTATCTATAGGAATTATCAAAATATGTGAAATATAGGATTTACAAATATTGAAGATAGACAATGGGGGGGCCTTCCTTTTTTTTGTACACACGGAAGATTGCCATGGCGTGATTTTTTGACCCACCTGCGCCTTCTCAATAGCTTGATGGTCTTACATACTCCCCTTGGTATCAACCCCCAATGGCCCAATGATAGCAACAGATTCAAGTATACTATGACTGAACTACATTCACATAGGATCCATGTATGCCATATATGGTAACATTTACCATTAATATACCCCACATGTTAGCATATATACATATATATACCATACATGGATCCTATGGGATTGGGAAAGAGAAATCCACTGCGTTTCTTGCTAGACTTTAGCACCGAGCTTCATCGACCACAGCCGATAAGACTTGTCAGGCCCTCTCTTCGAATTATGATGGGCGCTTCTTCCAGCAGAATCCCCCTGTTGCCACACCAATCCTATATCCTATGATTTTAGTTTGTTTTGAGAGAGTTTTGATATCAGAAAAGCATAGGTTACAACTACCACCTGGAAGCCGAAGTGCTCGCCTGCACAGGAGGCAGCAGCAACTCTGCCGGGAGGATCTCCTGGACGGGGACGGTTCTACCGACATTTTTTCTGGGACCTACTGGAAGTTGGAGATCATTTTCCCAAAATATCTGTGCTTAAAAACATTCCGAACATATGTCTGGCCTTGTGGCTAGCCTCCCGGAACTGGATGAGACATTTTAGAGCAAACCTCGATCAATTCGGGGTTGTAAGCTCAGGATTTCCTCTTTTTGTCATGATCAAAATCCATTGATTGCCTCAACAATATTCACAGCAACTTCTTCCTGCCGGCACTGGAATGGTAGGAGAGAAAGCACACATAAAGTACTTCATGGCTGTCAGCGTTTGGGCCGGATGAGCTTCATCATGGGAACAAGAAACTCAGAGGCAAACAGGGAACGGTGTTATACCTTGTTTCGGCAACAAATAAAGCATATCATTGAAGAGCAGAAACAAATTTTTGGAAAACTTTTTGGACGGGTTTCCCCGGGGTTTGGAGGATATTTGATGAATCGCGGCCGTTGCTGCTTTTTCTTTGCATATTATATTGATTCACCGCCATGATAGTGTTTCCATTTTCAACCCAGAGAAGCCAAAACCATCAACAAAATCAGTTGATTTTTGATTGAAAACCATTTCGGGTCAACCGTTCTTTTGTATTGCCATACTCAAATGTGTGCGTCCTAAAATAGGGTAGCCCCCTAAATCATCCACAAACCATGGGTTTATAGGCCCCATTCAATGGGAAATACCCTGGTTCTGAGAATTGATGGAGAAAACGGAGAACATCGCCTGGTGCCTTGGATAGAAGACAAATCAGAAGACAAGCCTCACTTGGTCCATGCTCAGCCCCAACCTCAAATCTAGATTTATGAGATAAAACTTATGCCAAAAAACAAATTCCAGGAATCATGTCTTTTACGTTTGTTTTGTTGTGCTTTTTTTAATGATCTAACTTCATGTTTGAATGATTTTTTGATGGTTACATTTTTGCGATATGATTTCCTTACATTTTGAATATGTTTTTTTTGTTTAATGTTGTTGTTTTTTTGATGTGTTCATTTCATGTTTGTTGGTCATGTTTTGCATTTGTTTTGATTTTATTGTATATAATTGTTAAGAAATATATAATATATATATATGAATTCTATATTTTAAAAAATGAACAAATATGAAAAAATAGGGAAAATACAACAGCATTACAAACAAAAAAATCAAAAACAATAAAACATCACAAAAATATAGTTTTTGTTTAAATGTTGTTTGTTTGTTTTGTATTTATTTTATATTTTGTGTAAATCTTGAGAAAATTGTTTTTTTAAATATATTTGATATTGTTTGATTTGTTTCTATTCACTTTCTTTTGTTTTCCTCAGTTTTTTCAACAATTCTATGTAAATTGTATTTCACTTTAGAAAACACATATAATTAATGTCGTGTCACTCCACTGGAAAATGTTAAATTATATCGGATATGGTAAGTCACTTCTGATGATGTGCGTTCTCAATGCATGTGTGAAGCTACATTTCAATGAGCATTTTAAGAGATATCGCAACAAGTGTTACTGATTGGTTAACGTATGGGACCATATTTCATTCATCGTCAGTAAAGTGAAGATATCCATGTATGAGTTATAGGTTTTTTCTGCACTTGGATGTGCATCCCAGCTAGTGACGCAGCTAGCCGCCGCAAGCAGCTAGTGGCTAGTGACAGTGACCAGTGAAAAATGAGTCAGCAACTGACTGGTCTCAAATTTCACCATTGAATCGAGATATTCCTTGGCTTTTAGCAGAATGGAGCGACTTGGCATCGTCTAAGTCTTACTGGGATGGAAATGACATGAAAACTTAGACCTGGACCTAGACCCAAACTTTACCAATGGGTATGCAAACTCTTACATGTGGAAAAAAATGCAGAATTGTTCCTGCACAAATTTGGTTTACAAATTTACCAAATGATATAATTTCTGTTTTGTATTTTCCAGCTCCAGGAAGTTTGGGCTTATGATTGGGGTCCTCTTCGCAAAATACCTTTTCGCAAAAATACGCCCGCACCCAAGGTGCCGAGGTGTTTCTTTGCGCGCACGCGTTGTGGGCAATAGCCAAAAAGGTTTAGCTGTTAGCTTCGGGGGGAGGGACGCATTTTGGCTCTAGAATCGTGTGTGTTTTTCCACGTTTTTGAAGATGGTTTAAAATCGACTAAGTTTCCAAATTTGGGCTCAACATGGCCCAACATGGCCCCAACATAGGGCAACATAGGCCCAACATGGCCCAACATGCCCCAATATAGGCCCAATATAAGCTCAGCATGGGCACAACATGGCTCAACATGGGCCCAACACGTCCCAATATACATGACAACATGGGCCCAACACTCCCCAACATACAGCCAACATGGGGTCCAACATACCCCAACATGCGCTCTACAATGCCCTACAAAGGCCCAACATAGAACATTGACATATGGAACGGTGGCATATCGTATGCGGTTTTACTTGTTGGAATTCCGAAACGAAAAATCAGTTAACAATCATAAAAAAAACAATGAAATGAAACTATTAAAAACAAACATTAAAAACACATAAGCAAAATCTGGCCCTTAAAAACATCATTAAAGAAATGAAACCATCATGAAATCATAAAAGAACTTATTTATGTTAACCCCTGTTTTAGCCATATCCAAACTCATAAATCTAGATCTTAGTTTCTATCAATTTCAGACATGTATCAACGATCTGTTATAATATGATACACATTTATAATATAATATAATTAACCCAAATGGATCAAGAGACAATTTTCTCTCATGTCAGTTTTTTTTGTGTTCGTCACTGCCAGTCACTATACTCCCCCATTCCCGGAACATATTCCGCGCTTTCCCAGGATTCTGCGCAGAATCTGCGCCTGCGGAGGCCCCATGTCGGCTTGCAGCACGTCAGGAATCGCCTGGCGATTGTGGTTGGTAAACCTCAACGACCTCAACAAGGGCCAGTGGCCACGTCACTTGGATTGCTTCCACTAGCTTGAGCTGGACGTCCCAATTTTCCCACGATGGGACAACTTTTCTTTTTCGACGTGTAGTTCGTATTGATAAGTTTTATATATGTGAGTCTACATGGCTAGCCCCAAGATATAACATTACATATCATTATATATATATCATTATATATATATATCATTATATATATATCATTATATAGAAAAAAGTAAAAAACACATTATATGTTAGTATATATATGTATATATCATTATTATATAGTAAATAATTATATATATATATCATTATATATATACAATGTATATCATTATACATATGATATATTATATATATTACACAATTTTAAACATTAAAAACACATCCTTTTCAGCTGCGATGGTTCGATGCAAAAAAAAAAGCCCTGCCTGTGCCGGTGCTTCCACGACTTCAGGTGGTTCCACATGGATCTCCGCAACCTCCTGGAGGTGGGCTACCCTTTGGCCATGATTCACCATAGGATTGGGATGAACAGCAGCCGGGTTAATGATGTTTTTCATGGGCTTTGTGGACTTTGGTTTTTCATGAAACTTTTAACCATAGGATTAAACATGATTAAACCATCTTTTAAACCAAACATCATGGGAATGATGTTTGGTTTACCCTCTGCTAATGACTAACGGTTTGCCAACTGGAAGCCATTGCCCATTTAGTTTGATGATTTAACCATTTTTAATTGTGATTTTTCATTTCAATCAAAATTGCCACAGGCTAATCAGAAAACACACGAAGACAGCTAGACATTAAGATTTTTAACTGGATAGTTCCATGTCCAATGTCAGATTCCCTGCAATATAGGCTGCTCAAGGAATATTCCCAGTTTTAGCAAGAACACATAGGACCAAACGACCCACCCAAAGTTTATCTAGTTTCGGAGAGAAAAAAAAACCTCAATATTTGGTTTTGTCTTGATGTTGTCTATGTTTTGTCCAAAAATAGTGCATGTACAGACCCCCTAACACCTATTGCCAACATGTATCATATACATCTGGCACAAAGCCCTTTGGGTATCATGTGAGACCCCCAGGCACCTTACGCCGGAGGTTCCTCACACGTCCATTGCGGCTACGTTGTTTCCTCGGTAGGGTGGCCATGCCAATCAGTGCCTGGCCATATGGAAAGGAATGACCTGAGAGCTTCTGTGAAGAGGATGTGATTTCTTGATGTTTCTTGCCCTCCCTGGGTCATATCCTCATGAGGCCAAATCCACCACTACCTCAGCCGGGGACATTGCGAAGAAGTCCACTTGATAGCAGGACCTTGGTCTAAGGGGTCAAATTCAGCCAGGAACCAAAGACAAATCCAAACAAACAAAGTATGGAACGGCCTTTTGGTTGGGTGATAAAACGCGAGCAGTGTTTGTTCTTGAAGAATTAATAATAACAGTAATAACAATAATAATCGATAATATATATATATATATTTATTTATATATATATGGTTGGTGGTTTCAACCCCTCTGAAAAATATGAAAGTCAGTTGGGATGCTTAGTCCCAATATATGGGAAAAAATATCCCAAACCACCAGCCATATGTATATATATAATATATATATATATATGTATATATACCTCTATCTCAAATAGAGCATTTGATCCCATCCTTGCAGAGTTCATCTGTGGTGCCAGCAAACTTGTCTGCATACTTAAGACGCAAACATAGGGGAATATATAGGGGAATGTCTGGAATACTTAGGGATCCCTAAATCTTGTCCCCCTAGATGTTGTCCCAATATGCTCGTCGGAATAGTGTGAACAATACGCCCGGAGGACCGCTAAGAAAGCTGAAGGGCTGAAGGGGTCTGAGAAACATAGTCGTGGTGGGTGTCCAAAATGGTCAACATCGAAGAACTTGAGAACCGAAACATGCGTTAAACAAATGGCACCACAAAACCGCAGGCTGGATCTCATTGATTTATGATTCACTATGGACAGGCCATAACCATCTATGGAAATGGGTCTCTCTGAAAATAACTTATCTATACCCCGAAATTACAATTTTATTGTTGAAAATGCTGATGAAATGAATTTAACATAATTTAACTGATGAATCCTCAAAAATTGAATGTGTTTTCACCCATATTTTCAGAACCATTTGGTCCCCTCCCAAACAAGGCCAATCCTCCAAGACGACCCCGGTTGGTTCCCCTTGGACAGCAGGCTCATGGGGTCCCAAAGTCAAGGGCCAACATCCCGAGGGGTCCTGCAGCGATGAAGAAATCAACTCGGAACTTTAGTTAGGGAGGTCTTATCTATCTTGGATCTTCATGTTTTTTTCCCCAAACAGATGGAAATGGAAACAAGCTGCTCCGGCTAGGGATTTTCCATGCTGCGCCGTCCGAAAAGAAGAGTTGGATTATCCAAAGAAACTCAGATGGTTAAAGTTTAAAAAGGGACTTGAGATCATTGCCTTCAGATTTGCTCATGGAAAAAAGGAAACATGCTCAAAGGAAAGGTGGTGGTTCTTCAAAATTGGAGGGAACCCTTGGAATCTACCCTTGATGGTCTCTTTTAATGGGACATTTGGAGCACGTGTCCTGTTTGAAGATCAGCTCAAGTTTCCAAATTCTGTTTGGTCGTGAATTGTTGGTTGCATGCTTGATTTTACATAAATTTGTTGGTCGCGTCACGTTGCGTCACCAGTCTTCCAAGGGTTTTTTCTTCATCTCTATGTTTGTTGCGTCACGGCTGTCAGCCTGTCATTTTGCTGCTTACACCCAGAGATCCCTCCTGCAAGTAGGCCTTCTCCAGGATTTTTGCGTCTTTGCCTTAGGGATCCCATCCAACGGTGAGCCCCGACACAAAAACGGAAGGGATTGAGGAATTGGTGAACTTGTTGAACTTCACTGAAAGTGGCATGAGCTTTGCCGCCATTTTTGAGAAACCCGAAAACTTGAGATATGTCTTAGGTTAAATTGCCACATTTGGATGTGGATGTAGATTGATCACTCCGAAAAGACCATGATTCAGCTGGAAGTGGATATTTGCGTTTTTTTTTGAAATCTGCTTCTGGAATCATTATGTTAGAACATCATTTAGGGTTATTGAGGAAAATTACTGCACCACTCTTCACCTCGCAGTAGCTGGCTCCCCCCAGCTGTGCTTAAGCTCGGTACTGTTCAGACGGTGCCACGTGGCATCTTGCCATTCCCACATCTGAAAGTACCAGCTTTGCAGCACTTTCACTGGCAACAAGCTGTGCCAACCGCAAACAGCGGCTTCACAGAACTGCTTCAGAAGCCAATACTTATAATATCCCATGAGAAGTTCCGGTTTTGATCTTCAAGATATCTGACTCATTCTGACAAGTATCAGTCTTCCCCACAATTTGCCCCCTTCAAGTCCAGCACGGAACTGTATGGAATTACATACATATATATATATATATGTATATAAACTACTAAACAGGTTCCTCATTTCTATTGTGGTAGTTGTACCCTCTGGTAATTTAACATAGCTATTGAAAATTGCCATAGAAATAGTGGATTTACCCATTCAAAATGGTGATTTGCCATAGCTATGTGAAAGTTCACCAAAGGGTAACCCTAAAATGCCAGGTTTTGTCATAATGAATTACCCTCTGGTAAACTAACATAACTATGGAAAATCACCATTTTCAATGGGAAAATCCACTATAAATGGTGATTTTCAATAGCTACGTTAAATTACCAGAGGGTACATGAAAAATGACCATAACTTGGGGCCCCCAAACCTTCAAACGTCACGTTGCAAAGTAGCGCCCTAGTGCGACTTCCCTTGAGCCGAAGCATGGCATCGACGTTGGCACAGCCTTGGTATAGCCTTGGTATCCCTTGGTGATTTGATCCAACAGCTTAACTTACCCTCTGATAAACTAACAGTTTGCTATGGAAAATCACAATTTTTACGAAGTAAATCCATGTAAATCCACTATTTCTATGGCCATTTTCAATAGCTATGTTAGTTTACCAGAGGGTATCCTTGGTGTGAGTGATGTTAAACCCATCCAAGCTCCTAGAAAACATCTCATCATCCAAGTGCATGGCTTCCTGTTCGGAGTTCGGAACCGGGTCTAAATAAATGAAAAAAACATGTTGATAAATGTTGATCATGAATCAACTGCTTGTTGTTCTTAACCCACGATTCTGAAGACACGAGGATACTTTGATGTTCTGATATAGATATATTTGTATCCACTCATCACCCCTCCAATCCAAGAAATGACTAGATTGACCATGTTGCACCATGTTCTACCACCATGTTGCACTCATGGATTGTTGGAAGCTTCCCACTCTGCCATGCGGTTCACCACGACTAGGATCAACACTGCCATGGCATTGCCAGACATACAATGGAACTCTTTAAGCTTGCCCCATGGGGGTATCTTGGAAGACTTAGCACCTCAAGTCTATGTGGTATCTAATTGAACGCCCTGATGTAGCAGTAGTAATCAGCTACTGGAGCTCCACATCATCAAGTTAACTCATGATTGTCAATGTGACCAGAATAGAATGATCGATATTTAACAATATATACTAACCTATAATATTCAACAATGATCAATATTCATCAATATTCACCAATATTCAACAATGATCACTATTCAACAACGATCAATATTCATCAATATTCAACAATGATCAATAGAATGAAAAGCTATAGCTGTTGAACATGGCACATTTATAGTTGATCTACCTGGAATTGACCTATTAAAAATGGTGATGTTCCAGTGCGCAAACTGCTACGGCGCCAGCTCTGCAGAGCTACGACCGCTGAGGATGTGACGACTCAGTTCCTGGTGGGGAGTTGGTGGTCAAACGTTCATGAATTTCAAGCGGGCTTATCATATGAAACTTCATGAAAAGATGACTCAGTTCCTGGTGGGGAGTTGGTGGTCAAACGTTCATGAATTTCAAGCGGGCTTATCATATGAAACTTCATGAAAATACGGAATATATATATATATATATATATATATGTACTTAATAAGTACATATAAAACTATACATATATATATATAATATACTATCACTATACTATATGTGTATATATATATAAATGTGATTATATATATATATATATCATTATAAAATGTCTTGACATCAACAACCTAGGCTTTTTGCCTGAGGTATCTTTACCCAACTCCGGAATTTCGTTGATCTGAACATGTTGGGAAAAATCCAATTTGATGCCTAGTTTTGCCCACCATTTGATGGGAATTTGGAGATACCCTCTGGTAATTTAACATAGCGATTTTTTAAATCACCATTATTAACAATATTAATAGGTAAATCATCTAGAAATGGACCATTTTCATCCATTTTCTATAGCAATGTTGAATTACCAAGAGGGTATCCTCCATTTTCAACCAGACCCCATGAGCCATGCAGGAGAGAACTCATCGTGGCTGTGAAAGTAATCCCCTACTATCGTCGGTGCCCCAGTTCGTTAGCTAAGTTGGTTCATAACTCCAATAACTATGGTTTATGGTAGATATATGATATATCTATACTTACTATGGTTTATAAACCAACTTATAACTGGGCTAGGCACAACCTTGTAAGTGCCTTATCCCATATACAATATGGATCAATATGGGTTTTACCATGTTATAACTATGGTTACTAACTCGTAATCAGTACCCTTTAAAACGTCACTTCACCCACCGCCACAAGTCTGCATCGCTGCCCTTGGTTGAAAGCGCCTTTGAAACACTAAGAAGAGAAGCATGGCCCGGGACGAGACCACGAATTTGGCAAAAATCAGCTGGGCCAACTGAAGGGATAGTTCAATTCCCAGCATGTGGAGACTTACATATCTAGTGTGTTTTATGAGTTTTATGTATTTCTTTTAAATATAATATATATATATACACATAGTTTTAGACATTTATAGTCTTATAGTCTGATAGATTCATATCGTATATATATATATAATTAAATTATATATATATATATATTAATAATTGTGTATAGTTATGTACAATTTACACTTTGTTATTTAAGCGCTTCAATTAGATCCAGAATTACGTCTGCAAACCATTCGATTCCAGGGCTTGAATCACTCCACCTTGGACTGCAATGTCTTGTAGCTTGGTGTCATCACATCTGCCCGTGCCAAAACTCATGGGCTCCCTGGTTCATACGGAAAAAAAAAACCGTCGAAGATTGCGAGTATACCATGAAATGAGTGGTCTTGCCAACATTTTCCCGACTTTGTCTCAGAGATTTCCTAATTTTCTGCAAATTGGATTGATGTGGCAGTATGATGCAATATGTATCAAGCTTGTCTGTCTCTTGTAGGAGTAATAAAGCAACGTTTGTTAGGATCCCTTTCTTCACCACTGGTTATTCATCAAACATCCGTGTCAATCTATGTCCTTTCCTGGCAATGTGCAGAGTTTTTGTTGACCTCCGAGCCGAAAGGAAGTCGAGATATTCTACAGCCGGATGGCAGTGAAAAGCTGACGCAACAAAAATGAACCAAAATATATAATTCCACCACCCTAAATATGTGTTTTTCTTAAATCCCGTACTATGGTTGATATTGGGCGGGAGAGGAGGAGCACCAGAAAATTGCAGCCAGGCTGGACTGTTGGTGGTTCCACCAATGATGCGGATAGTGACTTTGTGCTAAACCCAATAATAACACATCCTTTTATATATATATAATCTACTTTCAAAGAAATGGGTGGTAATGAACATGTGCAAACCTGGAGGTTTGTCATGCTGTTTGTGTTCGGCTTTAGCACCTTGACAATTAACACATTGTTTCTGGTGTTTTTTGAGCTACTTCCGCTTCAACATGCAAGTGACCCGTGGGGCACTTGGGCAATTCTTCCGTCAATTAAGCAAGTGGTCGATTCAACAGCTGCTCTCAAATCATTTGTTTAGTGAGTTTGTGTGAAAATGCCGAACGGCTTGAGACGGACCAGTATCCCTGCCAAACTTCAAAATTCACAGATATCAAAAGAAATTCAAAAGAATTCAAAAGATAGTTTCTGGGTGTTCCAGGTTGGGTTTCAGAAGCAAATCTGCAAAAAGCCATGTCCAATTTCAGCGCCTCCAGATCTACATCACCTGCGAACGGCGGGCTGCATGCTACAGAGTGTCCTGAAATACGGCCATCACTATGGTGACGTGGTGGTGATGTTGTTATATGTTATAATTCAGCTAGATTATAAGGATGAATTATATAAGTATTAAGGTCTTGGTGAATATTGGTGTGTCTGCAAAAAGGGTGTACTTACACATATTATATATATATATATATACATATACGTATAATATGTATATACGTATGATATGTATATATATATATTTATATATTATACGTATGATATATATATATATATAATTATATATAATTATATATAATATTGATATATTGATATATTGATATATTGATATATTGATATATGCCTTCAACATCTTCAACGGCCATTTCCTTGTGGGAAAATGATGATTAACCAAGGGATTGAATCTGGTCTTCCTTTGAAAAATCAGAACCATCTTATGGCCCATACTCTAACGTTGAAGGAGCCCCCACTGTGACCAGAATATACCAGAATCCCCCCCCCGCCGACCCCGAAGGTCAGTTGATTGTTTTGTTGCAGATCATTCTCGCTGCAGCCATGGCAACAAGTTCAGGTTGGGAACCCATGGCCATGTGTGGCTGCTCTGGATAATTCGACTCTCACCAGACAAATCAGGCTTTTCCGGTGGCACAAGGGTCTAAGGCCTAAGATGGTCTAAGGACAAAGGTGGCCTAAGGCCGACAACTGCGTCATAGGTCAAATATGTTCAAATGCTAATGCGATCATTTACCTATGAGGGGCTGGAACAACCATGTAAATCCTGTGAGTCCCTTACTGATTCCATGATTGAAGTGTGCCGGCGGGTGCGTCGTCTCAATTATCCAGCTGGGATGATGCTCGGATCGCATTATTCGGCTTGTCAACCTGGAGATTTCCCCACGCCCATGGACAGCTACGGAGAAGTGAGAAAAAAAACACGAAAAATACGTTAGGTGTGTCTGAAAATGGGGTATACCCACCATGCATGGCATACATCATAGTGATTCACCAGTATGGGTTTTCATGGGTTTTCCATGGTTTTCCCTAAATTCCAGACCCAGAAATTTCAGGGGCTTACGCTCCCGTGGGCAACTGATGGGAATTCTTACGGTCGATGTATCAAAGCCGAGGGTGACCATCCTCGAATATTTGGGTATATGGG